TGTCATGTTCAAGAAACCAGTCTGAGATGATTCGTGCTATATGACATGACGCATTATCCTGCTGGAAGTAGCCATCAGAAGATAGATACACTGTTTTCATGAAGGGATGGACATGGTCAGCAACAGTACTGTGGCATTGACACAATGCTCAGTTGTTACTAACGGGTCCAAAGTGTTCCAAGAATATATCCCCCACACCATTACACCACCACCAGCAGCCTGAACCGTTAAAACAAGGCAGGACGGATCCATGCTGTCATGTTGGTGACGCCAAATTCTGACCCTACCATTTGAATATCGCTGCAGAAATTGACCAGGCAACAATTTCCAATCTTCTATTGTCCAGTTTTGGTGAGCCTGTGTAAATTGTAGCCTTCATTTCCTGTTCTTAGCTGACAGGAGTGGCTGAGTTACTGTTGCCTTTCTATCAGCCGCAGCCAGTCTGGCCATTCACCTCTGACCTCTGGCATCAACAAGGCATTTGCGCCCACAGAACTGCCTCTCACTGGATATTTTCTCTTTATCAGACTATTCTCTAATGGTTGTGCGTGAAAATCCCAGTAGACTATCAGTTTCTGAAACACTCAGACAAGCCCGTCTGGAACCAACAACCATGCCACATTCAAAGTCACTTAAATCACCTTTCTTCCCCATTCTGATGCTCGTTTTGAACTGCCGCAGATCGTCTTGACCATGTGATTTACTGATTAGAAATTTGCGTTAACAAGCAGTTGGAAAGATGTACTTAATAAAGTGGCCGTTGGGTGCATATTATTTATTATTCTTATATATATAATTAAAAATATATAATATATTAAGTATAATATATAAGAATATAATATGTAAAGTAATTACGAATCATATTACTTGTACTGTACATTGTATTGTATTTTATGTGGCTGACACATATGTTAATCTTAATATTTTGAGGCTGCACTATGATGCTTGAAGTTTGTAAGACAGTGAAAATACTTCATTGTTTTCATTATCGTTATAAATTTTTGTAAGCACTATCGAAAGCAAATCCCTTTCCTCATTTTAAATATCCTTTTTTTTTTTTGTATTTAATGCTGTTCGTGGGGGATCTTGTGCTTAAATCTCACAATGAAAAAAAAAACTCTACTATTTAATGCAAAATGTCATCTTTTATTTGTTTTCATTTCATTTGAATGTGAAATATGAAATATGACATTTCCATCAGATTCAGCCTGTAAGATTTGCAAACCTGCACCAGCTCATTAAGTGAACAGATTGTTTAAATAACCTCCTTCGCTCCCTGCATGTCAAGGAAAGTATGTGCGATCAGCCTAAAAAGTGTCTTTTGTATCATTTTAAATTGGTTAGCATGATCTTGGCACACTGAACCCGTCTCCGGGTGATTAATTGCCGCAACATTGGACAAGCACTGCAGTGTTGGAGAAATGGCCTTCACAGTAACGTTAGATGAGCTGGCAACCCAAGACTGTAAAAACAGGCCAGACTAAAAGCCCTTGGCTGGAACCCGATGAACCCCTTCAGCTGAGGGCTCGCAGGTCCCTTCATTACAGCCAATATAAATACATTTTTCAGCTTCAATCTGAGCTGATTGGGCTTTTACGGCTGATACTGCTCATGATGTGAAATGTGGTGTAAACACTCAGACAGACAGTAGGAGTGAGTGCAGAGGGCGGATTAGCAGACGTCCTCCAGCAGTGTTTCAGGGTGACCGCTCATCCTCCTCTGATGAATCAGGTGAACGTCACTGGTGGATGACCTCAGTTTGCTTTAGCTGGATATGGTGCAGTTTTAGTGTGCTGAGTAATAGCGATAACTTGGAGAATGGGGAATTGTGAGAAAATGGTGTAGTTTGGTAAAGATAGCTTCACTGTAAAAAAAAAAAAAAACTTTATCTTTGCTCTGTTGAATTTTAATGTTGAAAATACGACTCTGCAGTTTGCAGTTTAACAAAGTGACTTTTATTGACATTTTAGTAGTTTAAAGTAATTTATAGAGAAACAAGTATGTAAAATAACTGAAACTATACTGGTAGTTTATTACAAGGTTGTTGTACTGTGGTATACAAAACCACTCCAGGCTTTGTCACTTTAAACAAAAAATAATTTCATAAAAGTCACTTTTTTAACTTTTTAAGATTAAAAGAAAAATCAAGATCCAATAATGCAATTTAAAAGCATAAGATCAAGATCAAGTTATCAAACTCTTTTTATTTATTTATTTATTATTATTATTTTTTTCAGTCCAGACTAAAATGTAGAGGGGTCAGAGCTTTTTCTGTGGTAAGTCCTTGATTATGGAACACCTTGCCCCGTGAGATTAGAATAGCTCCATCACCTATTTTGAAATCACTCCTAAAAATGTACCTTTTTAGCTTGTTTTTTTAATAGTCTTTTCTACTGCTACATTTTCACATTTATTCAGTTGTATCTCTTGTCTTATGATTATGTATATATATATATATATATATATATGTCTTTTTATTTAAAATGAATAACAAATGTAATTACATGCAGGTATTTGATCAAGCATTAGTACAATGTAAAAGCATACGGTTGAAGTCAGTATTATTTTTTCAAGTCTTATATGTTTTTTTTGGCTAGAATATTTTAAATTTTTTTAAAAAAACATTTTAAGGTCAAAAGTATTAGCCCCTTTAAGCTATATATTTTTTTGATAGTCTACAGAACAAACCATCGTTATACAATAACTTGCCTAATTACCCTAACCTGCCTAGGTAACCTAATTAACCTAGTTAAGCCTTTAAATGTCACTTTAAGCTGTATAGAAGTGTCTTGAAAAATATCTAGTCAAATATTATGTACTGTCATCATGGCAAAGATAAAATACATCAGTTATTAAAACTAATATGTTTAGAAATGTGTTGAAAAAATCTTCTCTCCGTTAAACACAAATCGGAGGTAAAATAAACAGGGGAGGGCTAATAATTCTGACTTCAACTGTATATATTGTAACAAATGATTCATGTCAGTGTAAGGACATATTATCTGAGGCCCTTAATATAAAGTGGGACCAAAGGTTTTAATAATAAAAGAATAAATAAATAAAATAAATTAACACAAATGTTGGGGGTTGTCCTTCTTTTACTGAAATTTGTGATGCTGGATCTAGTCTTAAGTATTCATTTTTGTAAATTAAGATTTATACAACACAAAGTTGTAAATAATCTTTCCACTAATGTTTGGTTAGGATGGAACAATATTTGGCTGAGATACAACTATTAAAAAAAAACTTGCTCTAAAAGTTAAACCAAAATTTGAGTTTTGAGATATTTAAGGAACAAAATTAACAAATGTCTCTATGGAACAATAATGGATGTTTACTTTATATTCTAATGATTTTTTTGAAAAATTTCAAAAAATAACAATCTAGAATGTTGACTATTCCCACAAATATTTTTCAGACTGGTTTTGTGGTCCACATTTGGATTAAAATAACACATTTCCCTCCCCTTTTTAGAACGAAACTAAACTTGTGCTAGTTAATCAGATAATCTGTAAAGACAATAATAACAATCTTCATCATCAACATCATTTTATTAATTTTCCAAATTTATTTGAGTTTGTGTAAACCTTGTTTACACACCTAAAAGTGTGAAAGATCATTGGTGGTGCACATCATATTGTGCAGAATCATACTAATCAGGGTTATTCCAATCAACTAACACTTAAACCATAAATATAAAGCCAATTTTGTTGTTTTGAACAGTTCCTTTGCTGTGCTGTACACAGAATATTAAAAGTATTAACATTATTACTATTAACATTTCATTTTGCAACATATTTTGATTTGTTTAATTTTCTTATTATTTGATTGCATTATCAGCTATGCAGTGTGCCACATTCTTCAATAAAGCAAAATCAAACTTGGTTTAAAGCATTCGTAAAGCAAATAAGGTAACACTTTAAAACAGTGATCCATTAGTTAATGTTAATGTATTTACAAATGAACTAACATCAAACATTGTTTTTGTGGTATTCATTCATCTTGTTTAACGTTAGTTAAGGTTATTTAGGTTAAATAACATTAGTTTAAGTTAGTTTATGTTAACACTGAGTGCTAATGTTAACAAGCACAACTTTGGTTTTTAGTAATGCATTACAATATTGAACTATGACTGAATATTGGTAAAAACATGAATTAACATTTTATTAATGGACCATTGTTCTATAGTTTTAATGTAAATAATATTAAACTCTCATAAAGTAACATTTATGTATTAATGTTTGCACAAATGATCTACACAGCACATACCTCATTTATAAAACAAGAAACACTGTATACAGTTGAAGTTAGAATTATTAGCCCCCCTTGAATTATTAGCCCCCTGTTTATTTTTCCCCCAGTTTCTCTTAATGGAGAGAAGATTTTTAACACATTTCCACAGATAACAGTTTTAATAACTCTTTTCTAATAACTTGTTTATTTTCCATTTGCCGTTATGACATTACATAATTTTTTTTTTAAATTAGATATTTTTCAAGACACTTCGAAACAGCTTAAAGTGACATTTAAATGCTTAACTAGGTTTATTAGGTTAACTAGGCAGGTTAGGGTAATTAGCCAAGTTATTGTATAACGATGGCTTGTTCTGTAGACTATAAAAAAAAATAGCTTAAAGGGGCTAATAATTTTGACCTTAAAATGGTTTTAAAAAAAATAAAAACTGCTTTTATTTTAGCCGAAATAAAACAAATAAGACTTTCCCCAGAAGAAAAAATATTATCAGACAAACTGTGAAAATTTCCTCGCTCTGTTAAACATCATTCAGGAAATATTTCTGAATTAAAAAAGAAATCAAAGGGGGGCTAGTAATTCGGACCTCAACTGTACATGTATAAATCATTTATATAATGCTGCTGTGTTACGTGTAAATGAGCAATTTTCATCAAGGATTAAAATGAGGTGTTGAATTTGGCATCATGCACAATTACACCTGCCGAAAGATGTCAGATCTGACCTCCTGCTGTTTTTTATTTCTCCAGGGAAAGTCAGATGCCATCTAAAGCATCTGTTACTAGAAGTGCACAAGAAGACGGATCGTCTTTTGTGAATGGACAGAATGAACAGGAGCACCAGGGAGAACCTACGAATGTATCATCGTCCAGCACGACCGTGCAAAAAGCCAGCGAGATGCTGCAGGATCTGGGGAGACTTAAAAATGAGATGAGGAGTCTACTGCAGGTGAGAGCTCCAGAAATCAATGCCGACTTTCACACTCTGATAGCCCTGCCTTTTGCTTTAAGTTACTAGCATGGATCTCTGCGGTCTATGTTAAACCAATTAAAACATATACCGCTGTATCTTCTGCTAATTTGTCAGTATTTTCAAACAGGTCAGTAAGATTTAATTGGAAGCTGTTACAGCCCCTTTGATGTTAAAAGGGATCACATTTAAGATGTGGCAGTTTTACCATGTGATGGTAGAAGCAAAAAGACATAAAGGGACAAAGCCGAAAGAAAATAAATAATTGAATGAAGTGTAAACCATACAAAATTCCCAAATTGAAATATTTACAATAACGGAAAATGCAAAAAAATTAGCAAGTTCGGTGACACAATGGCTCAGTGGTCGCCTCACAGCAAGAAGGTCGCTGGTTCGTTTTCAGTCCACAGTCCAAAGACATGCGATATAGGGGAATTGAATAAACAAAATTTACTGTAGTGTATGTGTGTGAATGTGAGAGTTTATGGGTGTTTCCCAGTTCCGGGTTGCAGCTGGAAAGGCATCCGCTGCGTAAAACATAAACTGCATAAGTTGGTGGTTCATTCCGCTGTGGCGACCCCCAATGAATAAAGGGAATGGCCGAAGAAAAATGAATGCATGAATGAATGAATGAATGAATGAATGCATGAATGAATGAATGAATGAATGAATGAATGAATGAATGAATGAATGAATGAATGAATGGATGAATGGATGAATGGGTGGTGCAAATTATCAAAGTATATGAGGCAATCTTTGGAGTAAGGTGATGCCAAACCAAAAAAAGAACTATAACAGAACTATTTTAACTCAGGATTAACCTCTCATCTCACTACAAAGCATTCACCTATTGCCTGGTATTTCTAACAACAAGTTACCTGCATTTTTTTGCAAGATGGAAGTTGCATGACATCTTCTATATTTGCATTCATCTATCCATCAAATATGCAGGGTGGGTGAAAAGTAACTAGGCATTAACTTTGTTGTCACTGGAGTCGAGATAAAATAAATTAAATTATTATTTTTTTTTACCTTTTATTTACTTTTTTATTTGTAACCTAGCCTAATGTTTCTTTTTTGTCTTCTTATTTTCAGAGGACAGGTTTGTTTTTAATTCATGTAATTTATTTTGAGGGGATAGTGGGACAATAAGAACACTAAGACAGTCTGTAATTTTTCTTATGCTGTAATTTTATAATACCGTCTACGGTCTTGTTTTAATACCAATAAAATAAATAGACAATATTAAATAGGATTTTCCATATTGATAGTACAGACAAGATGATTACCAATTTTGAATGCCTGGTTATGTTGAATGTGATAAAAGCAAAAAAAAGTGTTTTTTTCCAAGCTATTTGTTGTACATTTAAAATGTCTCCTGTTTCAGATCGTTTGTTTGATTTACAGAGGACAAAAACTAAAATGCAATTCAGTGTTACAATAGTATTTTATACCAAATATATTATTTACTGGTTTCAAACATCACAAAAATATCACAAGAAACATTTGTTGACAGACTAAAAGACTCTGATTTAAGGACCACAACTTTTTTTAAACAATTTTTTAAAGTTGTTTTAATATATCCATTAAATATCAGATTTAATATTCTTTTCAAGAAGTTTGCATTTATTTAAAATATTCAAATTTAGTATTTTAAGTAATTTAAATATTTTTATATAAATATGTTTAAATAAATGTCACACTGAATGGTAACAAAATATTAATTCACATTTGATATTTTTTTATATAATGCATTACATGTTTAATATAATATAATATAATATAATATAATATAATATAATATAATATAATATAATATAATATAATATAATATAATATAATATAATATAATACATTAATTTTTTTTTAAATTTCCAGTCAGTGAACTAATTCTTAAAATGCTCAAACCAAACAAAAACACTATTTATATGAGCTTTCAATTAATAAGTAGATAAAGCAAGACTCTTGTTGCTGAGTGAAATATATACTGTCTTTCTGTGATTAAATGGGAGAGCAAAATCTGTACCCACAGACAAACTTCTACTGTCACAATACACACGCACGTTCACACCACCCTGTCCAACTCTCGCCATTGATCAGCAGGTTTCAGGTCATTTAAAGTGGCCCAGTGACAGTCCCAAGTGTTGAGATCCGGATCCAGTTAATCTAATTGGAGAGCGAGCACTGATGAAATCAAGCCCGAGACACAGAACCGAGACATTCGTGTCTCATTGACCAGACACCAATTTTTCCCAATTGTTTCTTCCCTTTGCCTCCCACGCTAATAAATTACAGCGCCTCTTCGTTCTTACCAAATGTGCCACTGCCTGTTTCCATCCATTACTGTCACCCTCGCTTCTCCCAATAAGCCATTGAGTTTCCAGGCACGTCTTTTGCTGCTGAAAAAAAAATTCCATCAGCCCAGAATAATGTAACATACAGCAAATGACACATTAGCATATAATTGAGGATGCAGGATTTGAATGCTCTTTGGCCGCTCTCTCTCTTTCTCTCTCTCTTGCTTTCGGTCTCTCTTTCTCTCTCTCTTGAACTGAACTGAGTTGAAAATAGCTTTATTGGCATGACTTGTCATGTATTGCAAAAGCATTGGAGATTACATAAACAATGAATAACATCTGAATATTGATTGTAAAATACATATATACTCTACATATACAGAAACAAAAATACAATTGGAATTTTGATAAATACATAAACAAATAAAAAAAATACTAATAAGAGTTTTTGGTCCCACTTTATATTAAGTGTCCTTAACTACTATGTACTTACATCAAAAAATAATTACAATGTACTTACTGTGTTTATAATGTATTTGAGAACACTTGTGGTGCTTTTGAGTTGGGATAGAGGTTGGGTTATGGACAGGTTTTGTGGCATGGGTAGGTTTAAGGGTGGTTTGAGGTGTAAGGCATGATCAACAGTGTATTTACAAATGTAATTACAAAAGTTAATTACAGATGTAATTACATGCATGTATTTAAACAAGCATAAGTACACAGTAAATACATGTATTTACACAATAAGTACATTGTAACAAACTATTAAATCCTGTGTAAGTACATATTAGTTAAGGCCACTTAATATAAAGTGGGACCGAGTTTTTAAATGATAATGAAAGAATACATATGTTTATATATTATTTATATACCACTTGACTAAAGTCTTGTCGTTGATCTCAGTTGTAAGAGCAACAAATAATAACTTGACTTCTAGTTGATCATTTGGACAAGTGGCAGAAGGTAGATTTTTCTGATGAATCATCTGTTGAACTGCATCCCAATCATCACAAATATTGCAGAAGACCTACTGGAACCTGCATAGACCCAAGATTCTCACAGATATCAGTCAAGTTTGGTGAAGGAAAACTCATGGTTTGGGGTTATATTCAGTATGGGGGCGTGCGAGAGATCTGCAGAGTGGATGGCAACATCAACAGCCTGAGTTATCAAGACATTTTTGCTGCCCATTACATTACAAACCACAGGAGAGGGTGAATTCCTCAGCAGGATAGCGCTCCTCATACTTCAGTCTTCACATCAAAGTTCCTGAAAGATGGTCAAGGTGCTGTAGGATTGGCCAGCCCAGTCACCAGACATGATCATTGAACATTATTGAGCATTTCTGGGGTAAGATAAAGGAAGAGGCATTGAAGATGAATGCAAAGCATCTTGATGAACTCTGGGAGTCCTGCTGGAACGCTTTCTTTGCTATTACAGAAGACTTTATTAATACGTTATTTGAGTCATTGCAGAGATGTATGGATGCAGTCCTCCAAGCTCATGGGAGACAGACACAATATTAACTGTTTTTCCACTGCACTATGACTTTATATTCTATACTGTACATTATTTCTGTTAAGTGCCAAGACTTTTGTCTAAGCAAAGTCAGACCTTACTGTCCTAATTAAATAATAAAAAAAAAAGACATGATCATATTTTATTTAGGTAAAAAAAAGCATAATCTAGAGGCCTTCTTCTTTCATATAAGCCACTTCTGATACCAAAAGATCAACTAGAAGTCAAGTTGTTATTTGTTGTTCCTAAAACTTGGATCAATGACAGGATTTTATCAGGTAGTGTATATTATTGATATTTTTATTAAAATAAAACAGAATAAAATACAATACACCTCTTTACAGTCATTCAGATTCAGATTTGTAATAACACTTCTGGCTAGTTTTGTCTGCTGGCTGACTCTCCGTGTTTATGTCAGTATAATACATACTTTGCTGCTGTTGATAGACTGGATCTCTGTCTATAATGACAGTAATATTTAATAAAAATAGAAATAAATATACAGTTGAAGTCAGAATTATTAGCCCCCTGTTTATTTTCCCCAATTTCTGTTTAATGAGGGGAGATTTTTCTAAACATAAACATTTCAAAAACATAATAGTTTGTAATAACTAATTTCTAATAACTAATTTATTTTATAATTGCCATGATGACAGTACATAATATTTTACTAGATATTTTTTAAGACACTTCTATACAGGTTAAAGTGACATTTAAAAACTTTACTAGGTTAATTAGGTTAGTTAGACAGGTTAGGGTAATTAGGCAAGTTATTGTATAACGATGGTTTGTTCTTTAGACTATCTATCTATCTATCTATCTATCTATCTATCTATCTATCTATCTATCTATCTATCTATCTATCTATCTATCTATCTATCTATCTATCTATCTATCTATCTATCTATCTATCTATCTATCTATCTATCTATCTATCTATCTATCTATCTATCTATCTATCTATCTCTATATCTATCTATCTCTATATCTATCTATCTATCTATCTATCTATCTATATATATATATATATAAGAATTTCTTATTGTCAGTCATTATGACGGAGAGGGTTGTAAAAATTTCGTCATAACCTATTACTGCCCGTCATTTAATTTGCATATTTTTTAATCGTTTTTTCCTTCATATTTTAATCATTGACTTGCACGACAAGCATATAGGCTAAATTATTAATTTGTTTATTTGACAAATGAACAAAAACTCTAACTCTAATTTATTGTTCAACAATTGTATGTTTTTTTCGCACTGATAGCAAAGGGAATTAAAACACGACCATTTGTGCCTAAACACATGCAAATATAAACAACAAAATATATATAACAAAATATAATTCAGACTATATGTATATATTTATATGTATATATACATATATATATATATATATATATATATATATATATATATATATATATATATATATATATATATATATATATATATATATATATATGTATATGGATTTGTATATGAATTTTTAATTTGTCATTGTCTTGTTCTGACTGGAACTGAGAAATGTTTAGGCATGTTTGGCTCTACAGTGAGTCTCGTAGGGCTTTATATTTTCTCTCTCTCTCTCTCTCTCTCTCTCTCTCTCTCTCTCTCTCTCTCTCTCTCTCTCTCTCTCTCTCTCTCTCTCTCTCTCTCTCTCTCTCTCTCTCCTCTCGTTTTAATGGAATGTCACTTACAATACACTGTTATGTGCCTGTCAACTCTATTTCATAATTTTAGCCATATTGCAAAAAAAAAAAAAAAAAAAGGTTATACAGAGGTAGTACAATACTATTCATTTACCTCATTGACCAGCATGCTTTGCATATTCACTCCAAACATTATGTTTTGCTGCTAAAGCTCTGCATCTCATCGTTGTCTTTTCAGACTGCTGATGCGTTTCCTGCGCCGAATGCCAAGTCGACCCAGAGCAGCAGGAGCAGGCATCTCGCCCCCGTTGCCACGGCCCCGCCTCCTGCCACAACCCCCATCTCCATGGTAGGTTCCCATAGCAACCCCATCCTCCGCAGTTCCAGGTTTTTACGAGCCTCCTCTCTGGTGCAGTTTCCATCCACAACAACAGAGCGACACAATTGTACCTTTTGTATCCTGCAATTTCAGCCCCGCTGTTATTCAGAGACCGCTCCGATAAATCAGTGTTATCGCTCGTTTACACCTGGGCTTCAGAGGAAATGTGCAAAACCCCTCCCGAATTCAGCCGCAGCTGTGAATATGTTCTTCAAGCAAACAATACGACTCTGTCATATTATCAATATTTATCTCATATTAATCTCAAAGATGTGATTTATTTTGTTTTTTAAATATACATTTCTAAACATAATAACTAATTTCTAATAACTGATTTCTTCAACCTTTCATTCTAAAAACGTATTTCTATATACATTTCTGGAGATGCCGAATTATGTAGCCAGAGGTACGTGTGCCTGCATTTCCTGTTTAAAATGAACGCTACGGGGCGGTATGGCGTCGTTTCTTTTCGTGCTAACTAGCTGACCGCTTACCTTCGTACGGACGGCTTTTCTGCTGTTACCAGTTTGCCCAGTGGCTCGCAGTATACATCAGCAGACTTGAGATATTATTCTCAGTATACCTAATTCCACTTGGTCTGATTCTACAACATCACGGTCTTAACTATCATCTTTATGCTGACGATATTCAACTTTACTCTGTATGTATTCCAACCGCATCCGCCCATTTTGACAACATCTCTGCTTGTGTGAAGGATATTAATGATTGGCTCACCTGAAATTCACTAAAACTTAATATGGACAAAACTGAGATGATTTTTATTGGCACCCCAGCACTTACCAGCAATATTCCCACCAGTTATTCCTGTGAGATTGCTGGCTTGCACATTAAAACATCTACTTCTGTAAAAAATTTATGTGTAATCTTTGACTCCACACTCTCTTTTCAGTCACACATTAAATCTGTCACTAAATCTGCATTCTTTCACTTACGTCGCATTTCACAACTACGTCCCTTCATCAGTAGCAAGGATGCTGAGACTGTCATCCATGCATTTTTCTCCTCACGCATTGACTACTGTAATGCTCTTTTCATTGGCCTGCCTGCTAGCCTCATCTCTAGATTACAGTATATTCAAAACTCTGCAGCTAGAATACTCACTCATACCAAACGTTCGGCTCACATAACCTCAATCTTGTATGATCTTCATTGGCTCCCGGTTGCATACCGCATTAAATTCAAAATTCTCCTCCTTGGATTTAGATCCTTAAATAACCTTGCACCCTCCCATCTCTGCAACATGCTTGTCCCCTACACCCCAACTCGCTCTTTACGGTCTGCTGACTCTGGCCTTCTTGCTGTCCCTCGGTATCGCCTCTCTTCAATGGGGGGCAGATCATTTAGTGTTATTGCACCCAAACTCTATACCACACTCACTCCGCTCTGCTAATAATATCTCTGAATTCAAATCCTTACTTAAGACTCACTTATTTTCTGAATGCTTCGCATCTGATCTGCCAAACTGACCACTTAATCTGATCCACCACTACCCTGCTCAAATTTCTCTTAGGTCTTGTTTGTTTTATTCAAGTTTGTTATATTTGACCTCATGTATGTTTGTTTATCTTTTTGTTGCATTCCTTGTAAAGTGTCCTCGAGCTCTGTAAAGGCGCTATAAAAATAAAGATTATTATTATTATTATTATTGAGATGCAGAGAAGAGTTAACCAATGACGACAGGGTTCCAGTGGCGAAGAACGGTTCCAGAATGCAGCAAACAAAAACAGAAGCCAAAAAATAAAGTAAACAAGTAAATAAAAATGTGAAAATGTGGTAAAAATCAGGTGAGGGTTTTCTTTTTCTAGATTGCAAAAGATTGAAAACACTATTGGTTGGGTTTAGGGAAGGAGGACAGTGAGTCAGTTGATAGATTGAAAACACTATTGGTTGGGTTAAGGGAAGGAGGACAGTGAGTCAGTTGATCGGTAAGTCAGTCATTCAGTCAGTCAGTCGACATCAATTTACGCGAGAAGAACAGGCATGAATGACACTCGTGAGGGATATTTGAGATCTGAAAAAGCATACACAGCGACCTCTGGGGGATTTGCGAAAACAAAAACTGCAAAAAAAATGTAGCTCCTGTGATGTATTTGGCACTCTCCAGAAATGTAAATAGGGGTACGTAATCAGAATGAGCCTGGGTTGGATTTGTTTTAACTCTGCCATGATGATTTTTCAAGATACTACCATTCAGCTTAAAGTGAAATTTAAATGCTTAACTAGGTTAATTAGGTTAACTAGACAAGTTAGGGTAATTAGGCAAGTTATTTTATAAACATGGTTTGTTTTTTAGACAGTTGAAAAAAACATATTGCTTAAGAGGGCTAATAATTTTGACCTTAAAATGTTTTTTCCAAAAATTAAAAACTGCTTTTATTCTAGCCAAAATAAAATCAGACTTTCTTCAAAAGGAAATTTTTTTTTTATAGGAAATACTGTGAACATTTCCTTGCTCTGTTAAACATAATTTAGGAAATATTTGAAAAAGAAAAAAAATCAGAGGAAAGTTGCATAATTTTTAATTCAATTTTATTCATATTTTTTTAAGTTGCATTACGTAAATGTGTTCGTCAAGCAAACAAACCGACTGTCATATATGTCTTTTTTGTTTGGTTTATTTATCTTTACAGGGTAAATGCACCATACCTGTCTACACTGAGGTGTGAAAATAAAGGATAAAAATGCACAGATCTATAATGAAAGCATTTAGTTGCTTTCCTAACTTTGTTTGCTCACTTAAGATTAAATTTGTTGTGTTTAAAAGAAAACTCACCAAGATCAACATCTTTAGATGTTGTTGTTGTTGTTGTTGTTATTATTATTATTATTATTATTATTATTATTATTATTATTATTATTATTATTATGCGTCTATTCAAACATGCACCCAAAACCGGTGGTGGTTCGGTGGTATGAGTTGCGTATAGGATTGGCTTTTTAATTTTTATTGCCACCCTTCATAGAAAGATAAAAAATACAGAAGAAATATGGGAAAATACCTTTACAGAATGATAGTGGGATAGAGTTGTAAAATACGAGAGAATGCCGGAAAAAATGGGAGAGTTGACAGGTATGTAATGCACATTAATAAACATTACTGTAAAATGTGCCAGAACTAGCCAAGAATGGCTATTTTTTATCTGTAGAAGCTTTATCCAACTAGTCATCAGACTGCTTAACTCTTAAATGGTCACAATTCACTCTAAAACGAATATGCACTATTGTGATTTGCACTATAGATCTGCCTGATAATAACTACAGTCATTCATCTGCTGTGTATATGATTTTTTTATTATATTATATTATATTATATTATATTATATTATATTATATTATATTATATTATATTATATTATATTATATTATATTATATTATATTAATATTACATTATATTTTATTATATTATATTATATTAATATTATATTATATTATATTATATTATATTATATTATATTATATTATATTATATTATATTATATTATATTAATATTACGTTATATTTTATTATATTATATTACATTATATTAATATTACAATATATTACATTATGTTATATTATATTATATTATATTATATTATATTATATTATATTATATTAATATTACATTATATTTTATTATATTATATTACATTATATTAATATTATATTATATTATATTATATTATATTATATTATATTATATTACATTATATTAATATTATATTATATTATATTAATATTATATTATATTACATTATATTAATATTATATTATATTATATTATATTATATTACATTATGTTATATTATATTATATTATATTATATTATATTATATTATATTATATTATATTATATTATATTATATTAATATTACATTATATTTTATTATATTATATTACATTATATTAATATTATATTATATTATATTATATTATATTATATTATATTATATTATATTATATTATATTATATTATATTATTTAGGGCTAGTCTTATAGATACTGCAGAGCTAATGTTTTGTTCTGTGTACAAGTACATGTGAATGACAATAAAGTTAAGTCAACTCAAGTAGATCCTTGGTAGAATGTTAAAAAGTTACATCTAAAAATAGAAACAAAGCATAATAACACAAAATACACAACCTGATAAAAGTCTTGTTGCCTATCCAAGTTTTAGGAACAACTAATAGCAACTTGACTTGACAGAAGTGGCTTATATGAAAGGCAAAGGCTTCTAGATTACGCTTATTTTACCTTAATAAAATATGATCATGTCTTGATTTCTAATGATTTCATTAGGACAGTAAGGTCTGACTTTTCTTAGACAAAACTCTTGTCACTTAAAAGAAATAATGTCCAGTATAGAATATAAAGTCATGCTGCAGTGGAAAAAGAATTAATATTGTGTCTGACTCCCATGAGCTTGGAGGACTGCATCCATACATCTCTGCAATGATTCAAAGTACTTCTTAATAAATTCATCTGGAATAGCAAAGAAAGTGTTCCTGCAGGGCTCCCAGAGTTCATCACGTTCCTTTGGATTTATCTTCAATGCCTCCTCCTTCATCTTACCCCAGAAATGCTCAATAATGTTCATTTCTGGTGACTAAACTGGCCAATCCTGGAGCACCTTGACCTTCTTTGCTTCCAGGAAATTTGATGTAAAGACTGAAGTATGAGAAAGAGTGCTTTCCTGCTGAATAATTTGCCCTCTTCTGTGGTTTGTGTTGTAAAGGGCAGTACAAATGTCTTGATACCCCTCAGGCTGTTGATGTTGCCATCCACTCTGCAGATCTCTCGCACACCCCCATACTGAATATAACCTCAAACCATTATTTTTTTTCCTTCACCAAACTTGACTGATATCTGTGAGAATCTTGAGTCTATGCAGGTTCCAGTAGGTCTTCTGCAGTATTTGTGATGGTTGGGATGCAGTTCAACAGATGCTTCATCAGAAAAATCTACCACTTTTCCAAATGATCAATGTCGATAAACACAAGTTAAAAAAAACAAGATAAAGCAAAAAACAATAGCTACAGGAGAGGACAACAAAGCCAAGAACAAACAGTACAGTACAAGTAGGTCCACTGTCAAGAATACAGTAGTAATGTGGACATTGCTGATTTGTCAGTAACCAATTTGTAAGCTGAAACTGAGAAGAACGAAAAGTATGTAGTCTTCTCATTTAAGGTCTATATTTTCTCATTGGAGGTCTATATTATCGACATTTTCCTCATAGATGTGACCCCAGCATCTTCTTTAGCCTAATGCCGCAGTATATTACGAGAACAGAAAGTACTGCTGTAAGAGAAAACCTATGAAGGCGGCTGATTAATAGTATTCTAGCGCCTCGGATGTTGCTGAACGTTTGACAGGAGCATGGGGTTGAGGTTAGAGAGTCCCTCGTCAAGGCAAGCCTGCCAGAGCAGCATCTGCCGGCCCATGTAATGGATTTATGGAGCTCTCCGACAGATTTATATTCAGGAGAGGATGAGAGGGAGAGACAGCCAAGGACCCTCAGCTGCCCACTTTCGTGCTTGCCGAGAAGGAACGTGACACGTATACTACAGGGAAAGATGCAGCACTTCGGGGAGAGATTTACACGGGCTACTGCAGCAGTCGCCTATGTTTGATCCTCAAGTCTTAGCGCACGTTTTCCACCATTTCAGTGTCAAAAAGGGCTTCATTTCATGTAATTGTATGAGGCATTTGTACACTGTAGTTTGATATTGATCATTCTTGACTGGAACATCAGGACTGAACTGTTGGGATGAGTGTTTTGTCACTTTTCATAATGGCACATCTTGCGTTTGTGTTGTGCATGCACTTCTTTTGTGTGTTCTTGGCAAATGTTATATATACAGTTAGAATTTTTAGCCCTCTCGTAAATATTTTTCCCCAGCTTCTGTTTAACGGAGCAAAGATTTTTTCTTTCAACACATTTATAAACATAATAGTTTTAAGAACTCATTTCTAATAACTGATTTATTTTATTTTTGCCATGATGACAGCACATAATATTTTACTAGATATTTTTCTAGACACTAGTATTCAGCTTAAAGTGATATTTAATAGCTTAACTAGGTTAATTAGGCAAGTTAGGATAATTTGGCAAGTCACTGTATAACAGTGGTTTATTCTGTAGACAATTTAAAATATATATTGCTTAAGGGGGCTAATAATATTGACCTTAAAATGGTTATAAAAAAAATTATTTTATAAGAAATGAAACAAATAAGACTTTTTCCAGAAGAAAAAATATTACATAAATACTGTGAAAAATGTATTGTTCTGTTAAACATCATTTGGGAAATATTTAAAGAAAAAAAAATCATAGGTGGGCTAATAATTTAATAACTGTGTTTTTCTGTGTTGTATAAGACGTTTCATTAAAATTATGCTCTTTTGTCACAACGGAAACATTATCCAGCTGACTTATCAAACATTTTGCTGATTATTGATTAATAATGATAATAATCTAACTGATTATTTTTTGCAAAAATTGTTGCAGGGATTTCTCACAGGGTTTAAATAGGGTGACAATTATAAAAGTGATGAGTAATAACACACCGTATGTAGGGCCAGACGCAATCTGTGGACGTTTTTGCTATTTCTGCAGAGAATTTTGCTAAAAATCTGCTAATTTTTGCTGAATTATTTTTGGAGTATCATAACTAAAACCTTATTATTAATACCTTTAAATAATACCTTTTTAACTTTTATTTAATGTTTAAAATGCAAATCTATTTAGATTCACTTTATTTAATAAACAAAGCAAGTCTTTCATATATTATCTCTACTAAAAGACAGAAAACATTACAAACTGCATTGTACATAAATCAGATGAACATTTTCATGTTAGTCAATAATATTGCTGTAATTAATTTAAAACTGAATAAATATAGATTTACACACATTTACTCAAGTAAATAAACAGAATTAATGATGGGCTAAAAATCTGCGAATTATGTGCACGCATATTCCGTGTGGGCAAAACCATATGCCATGCTTTTTCATAAGTGTATGAATTTATACTTGGGACACACTTTTGTTAATCAAAGCTGTCAAAAATGACAGTAAAAACCAATTATATATATCAGATAAATTGATAAATTTGATTAAAATTCTTTTAAACTTTCTATTTATCAAACCATTTTAAAAAACCGACCATTCAAATGATCTATCTATCTATCTATCTATCTATCTATCTATCTATCTATCTATCTATCTATCTATCTATCTATCTATCTATCTATCTATCTATCTATCCATCTATCCATCCATCCATCCATCCATCCATCCATCCATCCATCCATCCATCCATCCATCCATCCATCCATCCATCCATCCATCCATCCATCCATCCATCCATCCATCCATCCATCCATCCATCCATGAGTTTAGATACAAATACCTCTAAATGCCGTCTACAATTTACCTCTAAAATAAATATTTTTATCAGGATCCTGTGTGTATGTTCAGTAATTTCACTTTTATGGCAACAAATAAGTCCTTTTCCTGGTCTTGAAAGTACAATATCTCAACATAAATAAAGGAGCATTTATTTAAAGTGCACTTGACTCTTAAGTCAAGGGTAATGGCTGCTGAATATCCAGCTTTGCCTTGATAACAAAAAAATTACGCTTGAAAAGATATTAATATAGAAAATCTCTTTACATTCTTTTTAAATGTCACAATATTTTGCTTTTGCAATGTATTTCTTTTTGATCATATGAATGAAACCTTGCAAAGCATTAGAGATGTCTTTCAAAATCCTTAAATCATAATTTTTAAAAATCTAATATGTATATATTAAAGTGTTTACATTTAAATAATTATAGTGATATGTAATTTATATTATTATATATAATCCATCAGCTAATAAAAATTATAAAATGTTATGTTTAATAATCATACAAAGTTTTTAGAGTGAGAATGGTGAAAAAAAATATTGGCAGAGGAAATTAAACTCCTCAACTCCTGGCATGTCAGCAGAAAAACATTCGGAAACAATGCTTCCAAATGCCTGTGCTCATTCTAATGGCTCATAGCAGCATTCCATTAAACATATTTATCATATTTATTCTCTGGAGCGACTCTCTTACAAAGACAGTTTGTTTTTTCCCCCCCTCAAAATATATACAGTCATTTAAATGCATCCAATATCTCTCAATCTCTCCTCCACTCTCGCAGCCCCCAGAGCCTGTTGATGTGATTGCCGTCAGGGCTGCTGCTTTAAACAGAGCCAGCGTTCTGAAGAGCATCCAGCCGCCCACGTCCATGTTTGAGGATGCAGGACTGGTCCTGAGGCAGGTCAGGCAGAGCAAGAAGACTCTGGAAGAAAACCTAGAAGCCATTTTGAGAGCCAAAGATGGAGAGGTGCTTCACACGCAGTTAGAAGCACTGTCAAAAAACAGGTACTTGCACAAAAACATATTAAAGGGGCACTACTTTTATTGTCAAATTCAATCCATTGTGTTTCTAAAGGGGTTTGTGCACAGCTAGTGTTTTTCAGCCACCTATAAACATTCGGTGAAGGGTTAATGTGACTGTTTTCCATTTTTAAAGGTTGCTTTTACAGCATCGATGTTGTAGTGTTATTTAATATAATCCGTTAAATAGACTTAAGCATTAATTTAGTTATTCAAGTGTAAAACGAGATGAAAAAAGCACTGTCAGGAGCTGCAAGGGAGTGCAGAAAGTCCATTGAAAATACAGTGATTGATAAAATAAATTTCCATATTTTAACAACATGACGCAGAACAATGGAATTTAATGCAGTGCTTCTTATCCGGTCTGAGACCAACTTTATATTGTATGTCAGTTAGGCAGTGACGATCATTGATTTTTAAAGAAACCAGATCTTAAATGAGGTGGTTTTGTAACGGCTCACCGGAAGTGCTCGAGCTGGCTGACTAAAAATGTAAAGTCCTTGTGCATAAATCCCATACAATGAAGTACATTTTCAGTACTTTCAATTACAGGGGCAATTTTAGCCCCATAAAATCCATCGTTGATAATCAAAACTAAATATTTAATTGTGTTTTCCCTTAAAAACATATTCATGTCATAAATTGGCTTGGATGTATAACTCTGCACCCCTCATTTAGTATACAGATAAAGTCAGAATTACTAGCCCTCATGAATTATTTACCTCTCGTATAAATATATTTTTTTTCCAAATTTTGTTTAACAGAAAGAAGATTTTTTTTCAACACATTTCTAAACAAAACTGTTTTAAAATACTGATTTCTAATACCTGATTTATTTTATATTTGCCATAATGAATACGCAATATTTTATCAGATTTTTTTCGAACAATAGTATTAAGCTTAAAATGCTATAACTAGCTCATTAAGGTTAATTAGGCAAGTTAAGGTGATTAGGATTGTATAACAGTGGTTTGTTCTCTAGACAATTGGGGGAAAAAATTGGTTAAGGGGTTGGGGGAAAAAATTGGTTAAGGGGCTAATAGTATTAAGCTAAAAATAGTAGTAAAAAATAAACTTTTATTCTAGCCAAAATAAAACAAATAAGACTTTCTCCAGAAGATAAAATATTATAGGAAATATTGTGAAAATTTCCTTGCTCTGTTAAACGTCATTTGGGTAAATATTTGAAAAAGAAAAAAAAAAACTAATTATTTTGATTTCAGCTGTATGTGTGCATATGAATATGCAAATTAGTCCCCGCCTCCACTCAGTCACATCGGCTCCGACCTGCTCTACTTTCATTCGCTCAACTAAAGTGAGAAACACTACCCAATATATTAAAATGGCTGGAATATAGTTACTCCCTTACCTCATTTAGTATATGCGTGCGCATATAAATATGCAGATCAGTCTCCGCCTCCACTCAGTCACGCCAGCTCACTCCAGCTCCACTTTCACATTTTTAACTAAATTGATGAACACTACTGGCACAGGGCAACATTGGATTAATTCAGCCATGTGTTTTTGAACTAAAAAAAATACAATTCTGAGAAACAAATCTGCATAGGATATTTGTCATTTATTAATGTACAATTCCACTTCTGCCTATGAATATGCAAATTAATCCCTGCCTCCACTCAGTCACATCAGCAAAGTAATAATAAACACTACCCAACGGCATGTGGAGCATTGGATAGATTCAGCCACATATGCTTGAACTAAAAAAAAACCAGCATATTTTTTAAAGAATAAGAGCGAAATTTGGTATTTGTTGATGAAAGTCCGCTCTGTAGACAGCTTTATTCCTTAAGTAATCATTAGTAATCAAATATAAATACTTTTTTTTTCATTTAAACATTTCTAGTGCCTTAAAATGATTGAATATAACCACACTCTTACCTGATTTTATATATGTTTGCGCATGAATATGCAAATTTGACTCCGCCTTCACTCAGTCACATCAGCTAGGACCTGCTCCACATTAACTCACTCAACTAATGTAATAAACACTAATCAATGGCGTGTAGCAACATTGGAATAATTGTATTATATATGTTAGTACTATCAAAACTTATTGTGAAGAATAAAAGCAGAATGTGGTGTTTGTCATTTACTGATTTACATTTTTTATATACAGTTGAAGTCAGAATTATTAGCCCACCCTTTGATTTTTTTCTTCTTTTTTAAATATTTCCCAAATGATGTTTGACAGATCAAGGCAGTTTTTTACAGTACGTCTGATAATATTTTTTTCTTCTGGAGAAAGTCTTATTTGTCTTAATTTGGCTAGAATAAAAGCAGTTTTTAATTTTTTAAAACCCATTTCAAGGTCAAAATTATTAGCCCCTATATTTTTTTCGATAGTCTACAGAAGAAACCATCGTTTGTGTGTGTATATATATATATATATATATATATATATATATATATATATATATATATATATATATATATATATATATATATATATATATATACTACAAAATCAGTTATTTACATGGCAAAAAATTACTGAAACAATTGTGAAACACGGGGGGGTTTTAAAACTACAATATGTACTGCATCGTACTAAAATGACACCGCACTGAACCACTCAACCACCACACTACTCTCTTAAAAAAAGAACAGTTTTCTTCTTTTTCTTTTATGTACAATTTCTCATGAGTATCCGTGTTGGAAAAAAAAATTGCCAAAAGAAATTGCTAGTCATAAAGCATAGCACGCAGCAATGAATTTCCTCATGCCTCTGAGAGTGCTACTGGTTAACTCCTATATGTTTTCAAGCCTCTGAAAGTTTGGCCGAGCTGCGGCGCTGAACCGTTGTGTGGTTTGATTGACAGCTGGCCTCAGAGCACACTCCAGGCAGGAAAAGGCTAAGCCAAACCAAAGCATCAGTGTGATTGGCATCTGTCAGTGGAGGCCTCAATACCCAGATGCTCCATCTCAATGTATTCAAGCCGTAACATCACCTCTGAGAATGGGGCACAGCACCGGCGGAGGTTAACAGCTCTGGCATCACATTAAACTCACCGCTGAATATTATATTAATGTTTTTAACAAAAAGGCAAGCACGTTTGTCAGCCGTGTGGGGTTTAATCAAATTTGAGTGCTCGCTGTTCTACAAAGATCATCGTAATTATGGCTTTTATGGCTGTATTCATTTTTTTGGTTGGGAATCAATTCGAACACATCTTTTCATTACCTTTTCTCTTTTTGTTCTTTTTTAATGTTTGTATGATTTGTCATCAAAATCAATCTGATTGGAAAAAAAACTAAATATTTAAAATTGTCAGAGATTAACAAAAAAAGTAATTAATACTATGTATTTATGCAAGTCAGAACAACATTAGCAGAGAAATTCCCCAAAATTATATATATATATATATATATATATATATATATATATATATATATATATATATATATATATATTTTTTTTTTTAAATGTGATTAATCGCGATAATTTTTTTTTAAAAAAGTGGGATTAATTCGTTAATTTATTTAATAGATTGACAGCACTAATATAAATATAAATGTAAATATGTGTGTGTGTGTGTGTGTGTGTGTGTGTGTGTATATATATATATATATATATATATATATATATATATATATATATATATATATATATATATATATATATATATATATACACACAGTATATATATATTATATATTCTGGGAAATATAATATATATATATATATATATATATATATATATATATATTCTGGTAAATCTCTGTAGACTGATGGCATTTCATGCTGTTCAGCCTTTAATCTTAAAAGGTGAGAAAATTCACCAGTTTTGTCATCATTTCAGATACGCAAGAGAATCATTCCAATACTAGCTCTAAAGTGACGTTGGTGAATTACTAACAGTTTCTGCTGTTCTGACGTCAGCTGCAGATGTGAATGAATGGCGGAAGAAAGTGCAGTAGTTTAGTAGTTCCTCATACAAAAGGATATTTGGGGCTCTCTGTTTGATTTTTCGAACTATAAACGTGGATCAATCCCAAATAGCCAGAGGCGTGGCTGCAAGTTTCTTCCTGGATACCCTTGTCCTTTATCATGTGCTTACTTTCTCTGCGCTGTTTGGTGTGATTGAGTCCTAACACAATCTTTTTAGCACCTTATGGGAAGAGTTCCTTAAAAAAATCTCCTTTCGTGTTTTACATTATAACTACACTTTCATTGTGATGCTTTCATATTTAAGTCAGTGAAGTCGAACCTGAACCCCGGTCACAGCATGAGCCTCACCACCAGCAGATGATGTCACTGTGAATTATAATTTGCCTTTTGTTTCAGGCTTTAAAAGCACAGCGCTCAGAGCCAGCCGAGGCAGTTAGCAGGGATGTTTTTGCCAGGGTGGAGTCTCTAAAAAAAATAAAAGAAAATAAAAAATTGGCTTTATAGCAGGAGGTCAGACTCAATCTTAGCACTCAGCCTGCTCCCAATGTGACATTACCCCAAGTCCCTCAGGCACCAGAGCAGCTAATGGCTTGTGATACACCACGAGCCACAGCCGCTGCCGATATCATGCACATTTTGTAGAGATACAGAGAGCGGCAGAGTGCTAAAGCAGCAGTTTAAGAGCTGAAATGGAGAAGGCCGCCGCAGGACTGCTGTCTGTTATATGATGCGGAGGCTGCGAGAGCAGAAAGAACAGCAGTGTTTGACTTTCCTCAGGCTCAGTGCGACGTCAGTGCTGAAAACATCACAGGGAAGCCTTTCTGATGGCCAAGTGTTTTCAGATAGCATAATTAGTGGATGACGGATTCACAATGGAGTACAAAAGGTCACTGGTGAAAATGCTTTATGCTTTTTTTTCTAATTCGATATGAATGATATCATTGTGAATGATGTTAGCGGTACAACAGCTTTGCTGAGAAGTGGAATTTGTACTTGGAGACAAAACATTTGAACTGACGTGAACTAAATGAAAATTGAATTTTTTGAACCAAGATTATAGTACATTAATAATAAG